GGATTTCAACCTTGGTAGGAGCACGACCCACGAAAGCTGCCTCCATCCTCAAAGATCCCACCCACCCCCTGCATGAACTGTTCACCTCCCTACCCTCTGGCCGGAGGTTCAGAAGTGTGAAATGCAGGACCTCCAGACTGAAAAACTCTTTCTTTCCCTCTGCCATCAGACTCCTAAACAGCTGAGGAGTTTATTACCAGGAAATACGCCATGTACTGTCGACCTGTACTGTTTACATTCTCAGTTTGCACATGCATAATTGCACATTGACTGTTGACTACTGCACATGCTGCTCCCATGCAGCATACATTCTCTTATTATATTGCTGCATTTGCTGCTTAAAGTGCCTTAGATTTAGTGTCAATTATTTATCTACTTTATATTTCATTAGTATTTTGTGGTATTCACATGGACAGCAAAGTAAGAATTTCATTGTACAGGGAAACACGTTTCCTAACTGTACATATGACAAACACTTTGGCCTTGACCAAATCTAAAGATTTCACAAGTGAAATTATCTTTTTAAAACATTACAAATATGTCACCGCAAAATAAAGCACTAGTGAATAAACTAAAGATATTCATTTAAGAGTTGCTCTAAGTTATTTTTATACATCGCTCACATGTAACGACACACTACTAGAAAATTGACTTACAGTGGGTACGGAAAGTATTCAGACCCCCTTAAATTTTTCACTCTTTGTTATATTGCAGCCATATGCTAAAATCATTTCAGTTCATTTCTTTCCTCATTAATGTACACACAGCACCCCATATTGACAGAAAAACACTGAATGTTTGACATTTTTGCAGATTTATTAAAAAAGAAAAACTGAAATATCACATGGTCATAAGTATTCAGACCCTTTGCTCAGTATTTAGTAGAAGCACCCTTTTGAGCTAATACAGCCATGAGTCTTTTTGGGAATGATGCAACAAGTTTTTCACACCTGCATTTGGGGATCCTCTGCCATTCCTCCTTGCAGATCCTCTCCAGTGCTGTCAGGTTGGATGGTAAACGTTGGTCGTCATGTTTAACATGTCATTTTGCTTCAGTGGCATTTTGGTCTGTTTCACCCAGATAGATGAGTCGGTGTGAAAATGTGGGAAAGATGGTCAAAAATGTGATTTAATGTGCTTCTCTTAAAAGCAGTTGTAGGTTTGGTGGTTGAATAAAAATGGGAAGGAGAAAGCTGTGTGACCACACAAAGCAGTTTTGAGTTTTGAGATTCAGTAAATTTGCCACTTCCCCTTTTTTTAACTGTCTTCTTTTTTATGTGGTGTCAAATCTGTGAAAAAGAAAACATTTGTTTGTACATGACCCGGTTGTACTTTTCCTCAGATGCCTGGTAATATCTAACATCTTCAGAATGAATCTAAATGGTAAATCATAATAATGTGGTTTATGATGACATATGAGTGCACTTTTCAAAGTACTCTACATCAGGATATTTCATTCTGACTGACAAGATGTACTTAACATGTACTTACCAAACAAACAAAAACACTATCTTTATAATAATGACCCTCATCAGTCAAATTAAATATTCTTCATATTTTATATTAGAAAACCAGACAGGAAAATGTTGTTTTTACTGCGCCAACCAAACCAGTGCTTTCAGATGAAGACTTTTAAAGTGTAGGTGAAAACTAAAAATCGACAGTATGAATCTTTCATCACAGGAACTCACAGGAATTGCACATTAAATAGTTTATTATTGAAAGAAAAGTGGATGAATAAATCAATTATAAAACAAACACAAGTGAGAATACATGGAGGACTGCAGACTTAATCTAAACGATATCCGGGACTCACCGCTCAGCAGGGAGGGATTTCATTCATGAAGTGCTGGAGGAAGAAATGGGAGGATGTCTGACCTTCGCTCCCATACTTATGTCTGTGACAGGAGGGTGTCCCTGTGTTGTTGTCAGGCCGGTCCGTCAAGCAGTTACCACACTGAAAAAGGAAAGGTCCTGTGTAAGAACAGAAATCCTGAGTAAAGCCCCTTTCACAAGACATTTCACAAGCTCAACCAAGCCGGCAGAAAGTAACATAGAGGCACAGGGTTGATAAAGTCAGTGATAAAAGTGACTCTGGTGAACTCAACATGTCCTCACCAGTATCTTCAAGTTAAAACCTGAAAAAAAAAGATTTTAGCATATGGCTGCAATATAACAAAGAGTGGAAAATTTAAGGGGGTCTGAATACTTTCCGTACCCACTGTATGTGGACAGTCGCGGGTGATGGTAATGATGGTGGTGACAGTGGGAGGACAACTTTGAACCCCGGACCCGATCCTTTTCACGGCAGCTGTTTTTCCACCCACCTCATCGAGGCTTAGAACCGGTTGTGAGCTCTTCTTCCTTTCCTCGCTGGCTGCCAGCACCGAAGCGCTCAGCAGAACCGTGAACCCGGGAGCTGCAGCACATAGTGGCACCTGGAAGCACATCATAAAAACTGGTGGTGGGTGATGGAGCTAAATGAATCCACACAGTCACTTACAACACTCTAGACACTTGTTCAGAAACCGCAGACCACAGCAGGGACCTACTGTAAGTGTTTTGTGCTAACTAATCCTCCATAGTGATTGTTAGCTGACCTCCTAGCGACAGATGCTAGCAGCATGCTAACCGTGGCTAATTTAGCAACATGACAGATTTTACTGTGTAACACTATAAACTTTTGTTTCACAAAATTACTTAGTGTGTGTTTAAGATACCAAAAGAAAGAAATCGTTAAGAGTAGTTACCAGTTTTGCATATAACATTTTTGAAAGATGTCTGCTGTTTTATACGGCAAGCCGGAGTGGCAGGATAAAAGTCGCGAGCACACTTTTCTTCTTCATGAGGAGTTGCGGTAGACTAGACGTAAATAACCAGTATTGCTGCCCCCTACTGGTCATTTGCCGATTTCAAACATAGACTCTATACACAGTGGATGTACTATCCGGGGTACTCAATAGGCGGACACCGGTCCGCATCCGGACCCAAATACGGTTAAATCTGGACCGACGCCAAAACAAACATGCTAATTTAATGATAATCCAAATGAGTTCTCAATGAAGTGCGCAACTGTGATTCCGCGCGATACATCTTTGAGGCTTCTACTCGGTTTGGCATCGTTACCACTACTCACCCCCTCCTTCACCACTACTCGCTCGTTCACTCACGGCAGCCAGATTTATGTACTGGTCACGTGCTCTGGGTCAGGCCGGTGAACAGGCAGTCTCATCGTTCGCGAGCAGTGCAAATTTCGATAAGTGACTCTTTTTTTGCTGACTGAAAGTGAAGATGGCGTGCTCAAAGCTGGCCATTGATAAGAAAAGAAAAGTTGATTTTGAAAACCGCGAATTTAAGAGTGAGTGGACAGAAAAATATGCATTCGTATTCCCCGTGGGAAGCAGAAAACCAATGTGTTTAATCTGCAACGAGACGGTAGCAATCATCAAAAGTGGTAACGTGAAACGCCATTATGAAACCAAGCATGCACATTTCGAACAAAATTACCCTCAGAACTCAGAGGTAAGGACCATAAAAATAAACCAGCGGAAATCATCCTATGAAGCTACAAGCAGCGTAATAGTTTGATCAGCCACACAACAGGAGCGGGCAACGGAAGCCTCACTAAGAGTAGCATGGGTCCTGGGAAAATACAAGAAACCCTTCTCTGATGCTGAAGTAGTCAAAGAGTGTATGAGTGAAGTGGTGACTGCTCTGTTTGAAGGGACTCAAAAGGATGAAATAATCCAGAAAATAAACCAAATACCCTGTTTTGATTCCATTGCTGCAAGACGAACTGAAATACTTTCTGATGATTTGCTCTAACAACTTAGCTCTGCTATTAAAAAAAAGCCAAATTCATTTCATTGGCTGTGGATGAATCCACAGACATCACAGACAATGCACAACTCATGGTCTTTGTCAGATTTGTGATGAAGAAAAGGGAGAATTTCATGAAGATGTTTTGGGTCTCACAAACCTCCATAGACACACAAGGGGGGATGACATCTATGAAGCAGTGACACAGATGCTTAGAGACAGAGCGATAGACCTGAAGCATGTTGTTTCCATTGCTACTGATGGCGCACCATGTATGATTGGGAAAGAGAGGGGATTAGTGTCACGCTTGAGAACTCACCACCCTGACCTCATGGCATACCACTGCATAATTCACCAGATGGTTTTGTGTGCCAGCCTTGGAGAAAGGTACTCAGAAGTCATGAAACTAGTTAACTATCTGAGAGCATCCTCTGCTCTGCAACATCGTTTATTGCGCTCATTTCTAATAAAGGTGAATGCAACATTTGATGATTTGCTCCTTCACAACAATGTCCGGTGGATTAGTAAAGGCAAGGTACTGGAGCATTTTTTTGGCACTGCGGAAAGAGCTGGAGACATTTCTGTTGGGTCACAAAAGTGCAAAAGCCAAACCGTTTGTGGATTTCATAAAGAATGACGAGGAAATGTAAATCGTTGCTTTTCTAACTGACATTAAAAAAGCGTTCAGGTTCATAGCATGTGGTTTATTGGAATAGTCAGTACCCCTGTGGAGATACTGTTTTCTAGGGTTTTCCGCCCTCAGGTTGGAACTTAAAGGGGGAGAGGTGTTATAGTTGAGGCTGTTGAATTGGGAGCTACGAACCTTAGTTAGGCATCTTGGGGGGGAACATGTTTTGGTGTTTCCGAGGGCTTCTGGGGCTGTCTGTTTGGTCACACGAGTGTTCACGGTGTACCGTTGTGCAGTTACTCAGTAAAGAGTTGAAACACACAAGCGTGCTGGAGTTTGTACTACCTCAAGATATAACACCTACCATGTCATTTTTTTGTGTACAGTTGGGATTGCCTTTTTTTGTAGTTCTCTATTTGGAATTTGACCGTCACTTTTCCGGACCTCGGACTGAATGGAAATTTGGTAAGTGGACCTTTCAAATTTATATTTGAGTACCCCTGGTATATATCCAGTGTTGTTGCAGTCAAGACGAACAGTTTTTGAGCTTTTTACCAGCAGCCTTCAAATTGCAATGGACCCAGTACAGTTTTCAGAGAAACTTTGTGACTGGTCCATTTTACTTTGAACAGTGTCAAAATAGAGGCAGCATTCATGCCCAAAGAGGCTTCTAATACAATAACACACACCTTTAAAGTAAACTGTACCATTTTCACTGCCTAATGTGAGCTGTCTTTTGTCAGCCGATGGTATGTGCAGTGGTCTGACTGACTCCACCAGCTGTCAGTAACACCTGCAAAATGAATGAATAAGGCTTGTGCAGGGTTTTTTTTTAATCATGACTCATGAGCTGCTTTCACTTGAACACTTATGTGTAGCCTAGTTATTGTGTGTAGATTGAATGTCAGATCAGTGATTCTTAATGACAGGCGCTCTTCCTCAGCTCAGCAGCCCCTTTCTCTCATCAGCACCCTCCCACAGCAACTTTCCATGCAGGGACAAATTAATTATATCACAAACTTAAATCTCCAAATTTCTATGTATTAGGAAGTTAAGAATCTGAGATTTTGGAAATTCTGACCTGGAAATTGTTTAGATTTTATGCAGTGTTTTTAAGTCCTGCACATGGTATTAATCATGCTTAATGACTTCTCATTGTTTGACTGTATGAGGAGAGTAGCAGCACTTTTTCCCACTTCAGGCTCATGGTGTCTCATGCACAGCACATGACGTGTGTGTATAAAGCGACAGGCCTGACTGCATACATGGAAAACTTGTGGGTTGCAAAGCATCTTAAATTACTGTGACAACCAGTGAACATGACATGCAATGTCATTACCTGTTGCTCTTAATATTGCTTTTCTGACTTGATATGTTTAAAGCTTAACATAAAATACAATTGTCTCACTTTCTTATTGTAATGAAATTACACTAGAAATGTAAAATACAAAATTAAATGAAGAAATATTGGGACGCCTTAATGTAGACCACTGTATTGATTTTTAGCTAACCTGATATGTTGTGTGACAGGTGTGTCAGGTCTGCTTGGTGCCACCTGCCCCTCTCTCCTTTTTTCTCCTTCTCTTTCTCTCTCACAGGTTCTGGCTCCAGTGGTGAACACAGCTGGGGCGCATCCACCTGATCAGTGGCTCCCAAGGTGCGACACAGCTGAGGCACATCATCTAATTACCCTCTCCCTTTCTTTAGGTACTGGCAACGCTCTCTTGTTGCCAGTATGTTGAGAATCTCACCTCTACGTTTGGCTTCGGTTCAGCTCTCAGAGGGACATCCAGTACCTGGGTTTTCTTTAACTCGCTCAACCTTGACAACAGCCCATGCTCACTCAGCTCCTACAGTGACTATCCGTAACAGAACATACTGGCCAAGATGGACTCTGCCAATGCTGGCGCTGGTCGACCTACGTCACCACCTGCCTTTGCTGAGTGCTGTGCGCAGATTGACCACCTCGGACCAGCGCCAGCAGATGGACATTGTTCAGAACCTTTCACAACAGGTAACACAGCTTTCCGACAGTTTTTGGAGCCACAGTCAAGGAATTCTTCCATGAATTACAGATGGTGTTTGACCATCCTGACCATTGGGGTAGTGCTATCCGTCAATTAATGACAATAAAACAAGGGGCACGTAGTGTGACCGAGTACGCTGTTGAGTTTCATGTACTAGCCGAGGCGGGGTGGGGGGGATCAAGCCCTGCATGGTGCTTTCTGGCACAGGCTGCATGATGACATAAAAGATGAATTGGCCAAGAGGGATGACCCCACTGATTTCAACGCTTTAGCCAACCTAGCTATTCACATTGATAATAGATTATGTGAATGCCATAAAGAGAAAGCTGCTGATGCTAGTCACCCCAAGCCTTCTCACCCCAGGCCAAAACCACCCAGCCCTCTCCACTCACCAGCTTTTATGCTCTTTGTGCTACTGACACCACGCCATCCGGGTACAATGTAGAACCCATGCAGCTAGGACGCACTCGCTTGACCCCTGAGGAACGATCACGTCGACTCAAGTCTGGTGCATGCTTATACTGTGGTAGCCCAACCCACCTGATCAATCTTTGCCCAATTCAGCCAAAAGAAGGACCCCGCCAGTGAGAGTGCGGGCACTGGTGGGTCCCTCTA